CTCAGCCGTTAGAGCACTACCTGCGCTGCCGCTTGGGCAGTGCCTTAGTTAGAGCCCCAAAAGTTTTCCACGTAAAATCCCCATAGGTCCAGATCTGCTTGCCTTTAAGGTTTGTCAACCTTCTTCTAACATATTGTCATCTAAAAAATTCATTTAAAGGATTGCTATAAGTGGTCCAGACAGGCTGTCATCGTATGACTTTCTGAAATATCCTAAAAGATGGTATGAAAAAACTGGTCACCTACCTGCTGACTTCCTGGTGCTACCAGAGGGCCAGGAAAAAAATCACAAAAACGCCTAGAAGAAGAAGAACGTTTCAAATCTATTTTCAACTCAGAACGCTTTTTCACGCAATTCTACTTCTACTCCAATGACCTTTTGGAAAAAGAAAAAGATCTCTCAGGCAGCGAACTTGTTGTCTCTGACGTTAGCGATAGTGATATTATTGATGATGATGTGCAGGAATTGTAAGTTGTTCCTAACTTGTACATCTTTTCGGATAAACCTTTTTGCTTTCGTTTTTTGTTGATGCAATGAAACAGGAGCACAGATCTTCATAAAATCATAACATTCAAACTTCAATTATGTAAGATACATTGGCGCAACATATTGCTAACACATGACAAAGTTTGTTCAGACAAATTTGTAGCGCGTCCTCCTTATTCTGCCCCATCGCAAGCATGACCTAAATAAGGTACAAATTAGAGCTCTTCATACCACACTTTTTTACCTTTTCTCTCTCCCTCCCCCTCCCCCCCCCCCCCCAGGTTCACATACCCCCTTCACCTGGAAGCTCGGAAACAGCCAAGACCCCCTTCACCTGGAGAGAGCCCGGCTCCCCCTATCGCACCTATGCTCCCACTATCACACCTCTGTCCCCGAGTCAGCACCGCCTCTCCAGTAATGCCCACTCAACCCTGCGCGCCCATCCAATTATCGTGTGCGAGTTCTCCGAGACGAAGATTGTTGGGTTTTTCGCGAATTCTCGACTTCGTACTCGGAATCAGGGACATGAGAAGGCCAAATGATCGAAACATTGAAGCCGAGAATTTCCGTGGACGGTGCTATTAAAGACAGTGTCAGGACAAGGTGTGGTTTTGGGATTTCACTGCCATGCGAAAGTGGCCCCCTCAGACACAGCATTGCGCAAGTACGAGGTCATAAGGTAAACCTAAAGAAAGAAAAGCGATTGGGAAGTGGGGAACTTACGCCTTGAGGCGAGGTCTTCCGTCCGACCTGTTTGAATTTCTGCTATGCGTCAAATTGTAAGGCTTTGGAAAAAGCATGTTCTCTCCGTTTTCGCGCCTTCTAGTGTGCATTTTCGGATTCAGCGTTGCGGATGATCTCCGGTAAGAGGATTTTTTTAAAATCGAGTTTTTGCCCGGACACTGCCTTTAAGCAGTGCATCCAAATTAAGTGGAAGTGCTCTTCATAATTTGAGGCAAAAAACGGTGTTGCTGGAAGCTCTCGTACTCTTTGTGAATTATTGTTCAGGTTCTCACCTAGCAAACCATGCACTAAAACTATGATTTCCTGGATGAACACTTCTTCTTTGCTAAAGCTTCTAGAGACTGCCTACAGCTGACAGTTCACTCAGCTTTTGCGTATCAGATCTTGAAAGCTGTTTGTTTTTTGAGTATATAGCCTGGACGCCCGAAGGTTTCCTTCTCACCTCTGATAAAAGTAAGCTAATCACTTTCTTCTCCAATAGTTCTACCCCTTTAGCCTCAGAAATCTCCTATCAGTGTGCCCAGTGTACCCTCTTCATGACCTTCTTCATTGGATGTCCTAACTTAAATCCCACTTTCTCCTCGTTGTTTCTACTACCTCTTTTTTCCTTGTCAGAGTCCTATATTCATTTTCTTCGAGTTTTTCCATCGTGCTCAAGCTTTTCATTCGGTATTATCCAGCTTAAAACCATGAGTTTGACAGTCGCACTTTTCTCTTTTTCTAAATAGCTCCTCCCAAATTTCAAGCCTTGAAGCCTTGGCGTGTAAGCAAAGTATTTTCAGTCAGGGTGCCCAAATTTTTTATCTCCAGAACCTTTTTACGTAAGTGCTCTGACTTTGGGTGGTGGTCAAGATGAACGATAGCATGTGCCAGCCGCCAGCTGGGTACCGTACGCGGTGCGCTGATCGCTCCGCCCCCTTGTTAATTAGCCTAGGAATGCGCTGCAGTTATTAGAAAACTCTCTAATACTTCGTTCATGCTTCTTCAGTTGGTTGCAATTTGGATAACACTAGATTTCAAAATTTAAGTTGAATTTAAAATTAGTTTTCAGTCATTTTTCATTATGAAATCAGTCCGCAAGCTCTTTCTAATGTATTTCAATTATTTGTTCCCAGTAGGCTTGTCCAGAATGATTTTTCATTGCAGGTCATAGCTAAAAACAGATTTCATTGCGACGAGAATTCAAAAAAAAACATTATAGGCGAATTGTTTCAAGCAAACTAACTCGTTTTGCAAATATGCGGTCATATCACATAAATTTTCTCAGATTTCAGGAAAATCATACTGCACTTACATATTTTCGAATCTGCTTTAAATAACAAAATTCTTTTATTTTGCTTGCAAAATCTGCTATCCTCAATATAAATCGATCTCTAACTCAATCGAAATTGCGTGTGAACTAGCCTTAAGATGTGAGATCACTCAGACAATCATGCCTGAGGTGTTCTAGATTGCTTTCACACTTCAATGTGAATATCCAGGACTCACTCGGTCATTCATAGGTTAATCAGCACATCTCTCGAATTTCACGACCAACACATCAGCTGTTCATTGATTGCCAAAAAAAGAAACAAAAAATCAAAACAAGAATCTGTAAATAGTCAAGCTTCACCCCAGCTTGCAACAGGCTTATATCTCACTATCAAAAGTTATTTTTACTTGACGGTATCGTCCGAGAAACTCGTCCGCCGCAGTAGGGCGGAGCTTCGAGCGAACACGTTATTGCCAGTTCATGACCCCGCGCGTCGCTAATACCAGCTATCGTTCATCTTGACATATACCCCTCTGACTTTCAGTACCTGCCCTCCCCTCACGTTTTCTACTCCTCCAATTTTTTCCTTAGTTCCTGAAGTCTTCTTTACTTTCCTGTCAGGAAGTCTGAAACTCTCTAGTCCAAATCCATCTGGAGCCGAAGCTAATCTAATTTGAGTGTCTAACAGCGTTCTTCCTCTTTGAATCCCAGATTAAGTCAAATGTGTGATAACGCACCCATCCCATCTCGGTACTTGGTTGAATTCTAGTACGCACCCATTCTTCCCACTTCTTCTCCCTTAACTTTGGATCGATCTCCGATAGTACAAAATTAGCATTTTTCTGCCACATTAGGAAATCAAGAAAGCAGATGAAAAGTTGTACTCTTGAGCTGAAGAGCTGAACATTAGACTTTTGCGCTTGAAGAATAAGACTTCTATACATAGTTGAAGGCAACTATGCTGGAGAAGAAAATTTTGTCAGAAAAGATAATCATGTCTCTAAATGTCGCTAAAACAAAACAGATTATTTGAGTTTGCACAGAAGATGAATTAGTCTGGTGTAGAAAGCAAATGAAGTAGGCGCTCCATTCAACTCATAAACGAAAGCAATAAAATTTGCATGTTATTAATATTCTTATCTTATGATCAAAATTTTCAAACGGTCTCCTGACCAAGCACACGATGCGACATAGCAACATATCATAATCATAGAAGGGTAAAGGAAAGAAGCCGAGGATCTACCGCTTAGCGAGCATCCACCGCCTTACCCGTTTCTCTAAAATTATTTCTGTATTACTAGTGTATTTGATTTCGTTGCCCCACTAACTCTCATTACCTGCTCCGCCTGACTTTCCCCGCCCTTCAGAGGGTTTATTGATAGATGACCATAATCACTATATGAGAGAACTGTGCTGGCTTACTTATTCAAGGCACTACATGTTGCTCGCTTGCCATAGAGTAGGAAGACCAGAGACAATTGATCCATCGAATAACTCCATTCTACAGCATTGTCTCGTGTATCCACGCAAGTACATCGGCAGTGCTCCTCCCCATTATAGCAAATGAGGAAATGAGTAAGCGGTATGACGCGGTCAATGTTAGGAATCGTAATCGCTGCAGAAGATAGTGCTCTATGGATCAATTGATTTTTCTAGTCAAACTTAGGCCACTTATCGATAGGTCTAGTGCTCACAACCTTTCATGCTTACTTCCCCCATACATCAGCTGTTGATAATAACGAAAAGTGGTAATCGGAGTGGGAAATCCGAGAAATAAGGATTTCCAATAGAGTTGATCATGACTGTTGTATCAAACGAATTCTGGACTAGTTTGGGATAGACAGCAAGTTAGTAGCAGTCTATCAAATGGGAAGGATGGGAAGGCCAAACATTACTTCACTGAGTGTAAAGGTCATTTCACCTTTCCATATGAGGGGCTATACACGCGCCTTTCTTTACAAGTAAGGAAGAGTTAAGACTTGATCAAGAGTAGCTAGCTCTACAAATTTTGTAGAGTCGGTCATATATGTCTCCAGATTTCAAATTCAATCACATATTGATCATGTTGACCACTTTGTTTCTGATTATATCAATTCGCAAGTTGAGGTACAAGGGTACAAGGTACATATTATAAGCATACTAAGCATACTATCTGCATCTCACATAGGACACTGCGTTGGTCCAAGGGTCCGATCTGGCAAGTTTGACCATGTCGGGCACGGCAGGCGATCTCGACAGATCGGCCTCTGCTGCCCGTACGGGCCATGCTAGATAATCTCACAAAAAAACTTTGGTTTGGACGCTCTCGTCTGTCTGGGCCGTGCATAACTATGGAAAACGCCCGAACAGCGGGCGGAAGATTGATATATACCTCCTCTGGTCAGTCTACGGCCAGGGTTTGTATGGCTATGAATGGTTATCAAAATCTAGGCTCAACTTTGAAGGAAATAATCATATCGTCACAAACCATATCGTCACAATATTCTTGGAACCATTCTTCTGTCTGCATCATTTGCGGATCACTTCTCCAAAAACCGGTGAGTTATCAGTTGAATATCAAGAAAGGGATTTCAGCTTTGTATCGTGAGTGCCTTCATTTCTCAAAAACATTGCAGAATACGAGAGCGGCTTTGTTAGAGCTACTTTTAACGAATTTTTCCTGCCTCGTTGCTGCTTAAAGAAAAGGGAATCCTGGTTTTGAAACTGTCCTGACTGAACTGCGAAACTTCTCGGCCAAGAGTTATGAGCAGGGTCAAGTGTGGGGTGTGGCAGGCCACACCTGGGGGTCGTAAAGGGGTCGGGAAAAGGGGAGGGGGGTTCGTTATCGGGGTGATAGTGATGCTAGCGACATGATGTCAGTCAACAATGTCTGATAGGCCCACTGTGCAAGATACCAGCATTGATGTTTGGCCTACAGTCATACCCTCGATACATAGAGCCACGTACTCTGGTAACCTTCACTTTGAGGGCTATAAGGGGACACAACCTTCACCTGAAAAAAAAAACAGAAGTCATCCGGGGCAAAACCCCGGATGTTATTATCCTGATTATATCGGAACGAATGTTAATGAAGCAAATATAGGGAGTAAAATCTTTAGCTTACCTCAGCAAAACCGAGAATTTGCGTTTTCATAGCCTTTTTACCTTAAAAAAAGGTTTCTGTGGGATTTTCGCCAGAATTCAGAACAGAATTTCTTAGTTAACCTCTCATTTGAACAAAATCGAGTTTCACAAGTTTACGAAAGCTATTGGAGTTAAATAAGGACGAGAAACTGCGCTTAAATCTTGCGCAGAGACGCGCATGAAAACGCTGGTCTATCTCGTTAATGAGTGATTTTTGAAGCTTGGGACGTTGTCAGTTCTCCTTGTCGTGTCATGGCGATCAGAATGATATATAATGTTGCGGGGTTTCGTTGAGACCCCGCGGAGATCTACGACCAGAGCCAAATGCCCCGTCGGCTCTGTCTGTCTCCGCTGCTCGTCTGCGTCTCCCGCGCTGCGCGCTACCTCGCTACCCCAAACGCGGGGCGCGGGGCATTTGGCTCTGGTACCCTTTTCTTCGCTGTTTCAAACCCAATTTTAGCAAGCTGTATATCATTTTGAAGCTCTTGATCTCTATTTCCACGCTGACAACGTCCAAAAACCACATTTTTTGATTTGGTCGAGAAATCCGGCAAAAACCTTGTTTTCGAAAATCTCTTGTTTTTCTTCTAGTTTAACTCTTTTCATGCGGTTTTTTCATGCAATTTATAGATCTTGCTTCTTTCATAATGCAGACAACCACCCAGCCCTTATCTCTTGGATTATAATGGAATTTTTTGCGAAAAATCGTAAAAAGTGCATTTTTCTTTACCTTGTTCAGTTTCAGTGCTTTCGCATCGATTTTTTTCCAGCTTTGGCGATTGTTGCTCAGAACAATAAGCGCAACAATCCAGACAACGTCCCAGGAAACAGGAACGTCAATGCGGGGGTAGAAATTTAAAGGACGCAATGAAAATCAAAACCCCGTGTTGCGAATCGCTGGTAAGCGAAAACTTGCACTTTGAAAAGCCGCCAAATGAAAGATTTCAAGCCCATTGCAGCGTTTTTATCCGGTTTTCAGCAGTTTATTTTGCTTTTTATATCTGTTTTATGTCATTTTCTCTTCTCTGATCATCTTTGAACAACCTTCACTATTTATGACGTCTGATGTTCAAACAACCTTCACTTTTGACGCCCTGTCTCTAGACTATCGAAGGTATGCCTACAGTGGTACACGCACAGTAAGCATATCAAAAAAATACTAGGCCCATATGCACGTACCATTTGATTCAACCGGCTCGGCATCGGCAAAGGCGGGGCTTCGTGATCTAATTAAGGCTACGTCATGATCGGAGAGCACTCGTGCGAGAGAGACGCAGGTACGTCGCGAGCGCGAGCGGCCTCAATTAGATCACAAAACCCCGCCCTAATGGTGCCAAGCCAGTTGAAAATGTTACATCCTCGGTGGGGAGGGGAGGGGATCTGAGATGGAATGCGTCATATCTCGTTAGCCTACGTATCTTTCTTCTTTCTTTTCTATCTTGTTTATGAATGTTCTCATACGCTTATACTTGCGCATAATGGATGCCAGTACTATATACCTCCCTGGAAACTCAATGAAACGCTGTAAAATTGTACTGTGGATGACTACGGCGCTGCTAAAGATGATTATAGCAGAAATAAGTAAATCTCAGGATATCGAAATCTTCGGTAATCTCTAGCTCGCGAGCCAGGGATCATCGAAATTCACAATCTTCAGATCCCATTTAGCAGTGCCGTAGTATATCCTCAGTACAGTTTTACAGTTTTTTCATTGAATTCTCAGGAATATAAATCACTTTGAAAATGAGAGGTGATCCGGAGATCCCCTGTGGATCCCCTGGGGACACAAAATTGCAAAAAACCAATCTTGTGTGGAAGTAACATGGCATCTATTATGCGCAGGTATAAGTGTATGAAAAACTTTATAAGCTAGATAGAGAAAGAAGAAGAAAAATACGTAGAGTAGCAAGATATGACACATCTCCTCTCAGATCCCCTCCCCTCCCAAGCAGGGATGTACGTGCATACGGTCCCTAAAAGCATAAGAGCATCATTTTCGTAATTAGCATATCAAATGATACTGCGGGTCAAGTTTCAGCAAATTTTGAGGTTACCAAATATTGGCACACTCAAGTTAGGTGGTCATTTTCGAACATGCTAACTTTATTAATGTGAGTAAACTACTTCTCTTTGCACTCACTACAAAGTACCAACTCCTTTGCTCACATTAGGAATCCCACTTCAAGTAACCTCCAAACTCCGGAATTACAAGCCAAAAAGCCAATCAGGCTCAAATCACTTTTGTGAAAGTTACGAGAATCAGGCTATCGAATATACTTGTTTTTGCCCTTTCCCTCATGGCGTAGTAGCGCAGACATAGCACGTTACCGTAATCCAATATTTTCACGGTGTTTTCCATTTGCTTAGCTAAATAAAAACGACTATATCTTTCCCCAGGGAAAACAGTTTTGAATGAAATTCTTGCTATGTGCAGAAGAAAGTTTAGCAGTAGCAACCATATGAAAAAGACAGAGATTTGAATGCTTTGAAGATAAGTTAACGGGGTGTGGCACACCCTCTAAAAAGCTGTGGCCGCCACAGCTTTTAAGGGGTTGTGCCACACCCCATTAACTTACCTCCGAAAAGATTTTTAGCGAGCAAAACAAATTCCGATTTATAGCCTGAATCTTTTAGTTTCCATAAGAGTTATTCGGGCCTGATTCATTTTCTTCACTTTGAGTAAAAGCTGGTGAAAACGCAGCCACTGGAAGCGAAAAATGGGACAAACAAGATTTTGGCCTGCTTCTAACTTTATAATTTGATGGTTATTTGAAGCAGGATCTATGGTATGAGTAAGTAGGGAGCAGCGCTTTGTATTGAGTAAAAGAGTTAGCTAATTCACTTTTGAAATATAGTTAATCATGTTTGAAAATGATCACTTCACTTGGGTGGTCCAGTATTGGGAAATCTCAGAACTTGCTAAATGGCCTTTGGCGATTATTAGACATGAAAATTCTGAATATGTGCCTAATTATGCATGGTAGAGCCTTTACGTCATGCCTACGAAAGGCAAACGATAATGCTGGTAAGGGGGAGCAATACCCAGGATTTCCGCTTGGGGGGGGGGGGGGCGACAAAAATTTTTTTCGAGTGAAGGTGCGTGGCGTTAGCCACGCACTCCGAAAGATTAGGAGTGCTCATAATTTTTGCGAATCCCCAACCCCTAAAATCCGGAAGAAGAGGGCGTGGCCTCAGTCACGCCCCCGAAAATTTTTTTTACAGGGGTAATTTGAATTTTTTTATTTAGAAAAATAAACAAGTCACTCGCACAATTTTATAACCCATATAAGTAACTTTCATAAATTTCGCGACCAATTCACCGGGGGCGCCCCCCCCCCCTCAGTACGCCACGAGGGGGAGGTATTGAGACAGAAGATAGGGGGAGGGGGGGGGAGGTCATATCCGGCGCTTGTGTGCCACACTTCTTGCTCGACCCTTGTTATGAGCATTAGCTGGTTCACACTCCTATCCCAGCTGGAGCAGAGGGGAATATGGGCTTTGCAGGAAGTATTCGTTGCATATACCGCTTCGGTTAGTCCATATTTTCTACCATGAGGCTTGAAAAGAATTCTTTTATAGATAAGGAGGATTTGAATCAACGTACCATCAAGGATAGCACATGTGTCTCTTAGAGTTCTTTTGATGTCGTTTTTCTCAACACGTTTTAAAAAACTGGTGCAATCTGTACTTCTAATGCAACCCAAAAATAAATACATGTAGTATTTATGTAATGTTCATTTTTCACAGAGTCGAAGTTGAGTGAAAGCAGTGAACACGCAAGAAATAAGTGTTTTTAAAACTGGCGCAAATTCAAAGACTTTCACAATTGTACCATCTAATTAGCTCTCCAGCCGATTCTAACATTTTCTAAGATGTTACGGCAGATTAGGAAAAGGAGTAAGAGTAGTACTTAGTTCAAACCCAACAGTTCAAGTGGTACATGTTACGATGCTTCACTTATCTAATTGTAAGAAATGTTTTGTAATCATAGCATAAGCATACAGCTCTAGATCTGACTTCATACCTTAGGCCTAGGGCTGAGTTCACGCGATTTGATCGTCGCGATTCAATCGCTAAAGACAAGTAGGAGTTCATTGCGTGCCGATCTTCTTGTATTTCGTTGTGATAGTTAGTCACGATTAATCGTGTCGGAAAACTATCACAACCGAAATGCAAGAAGATCGGCATGCAATGATATTGCTATAGTTGTCTGTCGCGATCAATCGAGACGATCAAATCGCGTGAACTCTGCCCGAGGCCCAAAGAATTTCCATGGTCGCCTTTCTAGAAATGAAGAAATGGAAAGCAATACCAATGGGATAATAATCCAAGAAATTCTGAGTACATGCCAAAAATCCTTCTCTAACGCCACTGCACTGTCCATATCTCGAGCAGTATTTTCGAGCTAGTCGCTTCAATGACATTCTTTGTGAAGAAAACAAAAGCATACTTTGCTACTCATTTGCAGTTTCGATTATATTCACTATCGCTTGATATTTGACAAGAGTCGCACACTCCCTTGACAAATCTATAGCTTGCTGTAATACATGCTTCGTTGAGCTTGTAAACGCTTCGATCGCGAAGCATCGGGAATGTTATCATACTTGCGCAACCGTCTGCGAAAACATTTGCGGGAAAAATTTGCACAATCATTCTCCGTCACCTAGACGAGTATCCGTTCTTCAACAAGCTTCCACTTTCGTTTCACTTTTGAAATTTCACTTGGTCTCGAGATAAGCCAAACCATGCTTCTCACATTTATCTGAGACTCAGCCGTGATTTCAAACTTCAATTAACCACTGCAAAGAAGCTGACACTTTGTTTCAGTCGAAGCGGCCTTTACAGCTGAATATTGAGGGTCGTTAAATGCTTTTTGATTTTTCTTCGATATTTATGCTGTGAGCTTCTCGATATGTATTCATAACGTTTCTGAGTTGAAAAATCCGTAATGGCAATTCAAAAAAAAAAGAATCTCATTTGAATCTTCTTAAACGAAGTGGTTGGATGATCGCAATGTTTGATTTTATCTGCGCCCTGAGTTTTTTATCATAAAGAACACCCGTAATTCCTCGTTCAGAGGCTCACAACAAAACTGAAGACAGACTTGGAATCGGCGTTTAATGCCTCTTTAATATGCTGCACTATTCATTTGTACCCTATCATCATTACTTCCGTTGAGGGTCACAATATTTTCATTAATTTACAAGATATACGATTTTCCAGGCTCTGCAGATTTGAGCTGGCCAGCAGCTGCACAGAACGTCGAGATCCTTGTCTAGACTACTATAGTACATGAGAGAGCGCAGCCGTCATTGGCATACGCAGCACAAAAATAAATTTCGGTACCAGTCGTAGAAATCATTTTGCGCAGAACGCGAATTTTTAGTGGTTCATAATCATAAAAACATCTCAAGCGACTCTCCTTTTTCACGCAAGATTGCAACATTTCGCTTCAAAATTTTTTGTAGGGTCACAGTAAAAAAGTGAGCTATGTGCTACACATAAATGCAGTGCAGTTTGAGAAGAGCGTTGCTTTTCTCGGATGGCTCAAAATGCTTTTGGAGTTAGTGAGCTCTAAAAACCCTACTTTTCTGTAATTCAAGCGCTTTAATTAACTTCTAACAGACCTATAAGACGCTTTTTCGATAGGTATTTTGTTCGACGGTTGAATATATCCTGTGTTCTCTTTACATTCTTTACGAATTTTAAACCCCTGGAGTTAGCACAATTTCGAGTCTCGGAACACAGCTTCTGTCTCGCGCAAAGGTTGCGATGAAACAAATGCATTGCTTACCCGTTTATGTATCTGTGCTTACCAGTTTATGTATCTGTAATATCCAAATTAGTATTTGGATATTTGCAGAATCAATTTTGGAGCTTTGGTGTTGAAAGGCAAAAAAGTGTGATTGCATTAGTAAACCAACCGGTTTCGTAAAGTTAAAACTCGCTCGAAAAACGCGACGAGAACACAGGATTTTTCGAAAAAGCTTAATTTATCTCAAAGGCAGCGTCCGGGCAAAATTTCGTCTTTCATGTTTCTGCCTTTCTGGGGCTCGTGGCCCTGATTACAGTTGTAAAATCCAAATTGTTCAAAACTTCCAAAAAACCCGGTTCTTGGGGACCCTCTTTTCAAGGAGCGGACGAGTTTCGAATTGCTCGTCCCCATCGTCATGCGCGGATGCAGTTGCAGTGCAGTGTGCAGTGCAACTGCAATGCAACTGCAATGCAACCGCACACCTGCGTAAGCACTCGTCCTCAGGGGTGGTTTGTGATACGAAGGGGCGACTTGTGATACATATCACAGGCCCGTATCTCCTTTTAGAGGGCACGTCAAAGGATTGGACCAAAGCAGATCGGATACTCATGGGCCCCTCTTTACAACTATGTGCTAATCTGGGAGGATGGATCTTGCCTGGACGCTGCCTTTAAAGATTTGTTAGCTGATTGAAGTGCTTGAACACAAAAATACCGGAGTTTTTAGAGCGCACTAACTCCAAAAGCATTTTGAGCCATCCGAGACAAGTCGCTCATCTTTTCGAACTGCACTGCATTTAGTGTGTAGCACTCTCACCCTTTTCTACTGTAGCTCTATTATAATTTTTTGAATAGAAAGATAGCAGTTATGCGTGAAAAAAGGAGTCGTTTGAAGTGTTTGTAAATTATAAACCGAAAATTCGCATTTGGCGCAAAAACATCCCTAAAATTGACAAGGTATTTCATTTTTGCACCGCATATACCGTTTTCGATAAGCTCTTTCATGTAATACCAGTTGCTTTTAGCGTTTCTTCCAAAAAGTCCCGGAACTCTCAAATTAAGGGGTGTTGGTATAGTTATAGTTGTGAATCGCACTTTACTTATTATTGATCAAACTATCTTTCTTTTTCTCGACTCTTCAACTCATTCATTCACATATATGAATAAACTTTGAAGTGCGAGGAGAACTCATAACCTAGTAGACTCGCTTCCCCTATCATTACATAAAAGTCTACTCCCTTGGGCCATTCACGTCCTTTGTCACGATTCCGGTCCCATCAATGTATAAAAGCAGCTTGTACGCATAGTTGGCGTCGAGGCATTCGTGCGGCTTTGCCGTCCATGTATGCTGTATCACGCAGCGCTCTTTACGTTTTCCCTGTTTGTCATGACTGACTCGCTTTTCCTAGCAGCAGCTCCAAAAAATTTGAGTTTTTTCAAAGTAGATTTTATTACCCTTAGTCTCGCTAATCGCTCGTAATTTGTTATACCAGTTGTGGTCATATTCTTATAGTACATGTGAATATGACTGCTTTTATATTTTGTTAGTCTTGAAGATGCTGTCTACAGTTTGCCAATTTTCTTGCAAGTCCTGAAAAAGTTAAAAAGGGAATTGGAATGCTTCCATTAGAATATTCTCTTCTCTCTGGTCCCTTGTGTAGTTGTGCTGGAGCTACCGATGAAAAGCATAAGATCACTCATAAAGCAAAAGGCATGATGATAATGATGATAATTGGCTTGCCTATTTTTCAGAGTCTTTTGTTCCTTGAGACCATGTCGAATTTGATAGCTTTACAGTTAACGTCAGTGGCTAGCGACAAATTTCTTATCCAGTGCAGCAGTAACGTCAGCTGTAATAAGCATACTTTGTGTCATACCGTAAAAATAATCTTCTCATCACGTTGTACTATCTAACTGAGTTAACTTGAGTGAAAGTTTATTTTGAGATCGATGATGCTTGGAAGCTATCTGGGTTTGGCTCTAGTCATTTCTGCATACGCGCAGCAACAGCAAACAGTAAGCGATACTTTCTAGACTCAAAATATGCAAAAAAACATGCAAGAATATTCCAGATACCTTGTGGACTGCCACCATTTGTTACCAAATTGCCTGAAAAGCAGTCTCAGCTGCTGAAAGAAGTCAGTGCTCACCTGACCTTTGAATCTTCTCTGAATAGTCCTTGAGCATTTTTCAGATATGGGCAGGATACGAAAGTGGAACCGATTGCTCAACGCAACAAAATAGAACTTTTGAGGTTGTAGCCACACTTACCGATGCCGAAAGAGCTGCCGTCTTTAGCGCGGCTCAAGAAAACGATGAAGGAATACCAGGTCCGGTGTTTACTCAAAGAAAGACTGTTCTTCAGTCTGCTTTGTATGTTGATTTTCAGTCGAAGATCAGTTCGACACGACGCCAGCATTCATCAAGTCGCTCTCAAAAAAGATAAAGGACGGATTTGACGAAATCTGGACTAATATTGGGCTTCTCGACCAAGAGAAGGTATTTAAACTTTCATTCAACTGGCTTAGCGGCTAGAAGGAGGGGCTTTGTGACCCTGATTGAGGCCGCTCGCGCTCGCTACGCAGTCTGCTTCTCTCCATCGCTCGTGCTCTCTAATCATTATCTAGCCTTAACTAACACGAAACGAAACCCCGCCTTCCAGCCGCCAAGCCACTTGAATCAGAGGACCGGCCCGTAGCCCGTCACCGTCGGCTCAGTACGCGCCGCATTCCGCGTCGCACTGAAACTCATCATTGAAGCGCGTTTTTGCGCTGGCGTTGCAAATATGCAAAAAGGGTTAGCACCATGCTATTACCCATCACCACCTGTTCATCACTTTGTAATACCTAGCATAGGCACATCTGCCCGAAAAGGACAAGGTCCACGGCAAATCCATAACCTCATGCCATACACCTTGAACTCCACGAAGAAGCCTCATTATGGAAAAATAAGTATGTTGTTTGTATCTAGCATACCAGATAACCCTCTTAGACCAATCAAAGCCAAATCTGTGGTTTTGACCCCGGCACACATGCAAGAAAATAAAGAAGTTGTCGGAAAAATTTCGTAAATAACGTGTGGGAGAATGCCCATCTATTGTGTTCCAGCAAAAATCATAGCTTTGAAATTTGAAGCCTGGATGTTAGAATAGCGCCGATCTCGTAGAGGGGAATGCTTGCACATTGCTGTATAGAACTCCACCATCCATTCAAGACTTGTGCGGGAAAGGAGGCTGCGCAACACATGGTCCTACTAGGGAGAATAGACTAAACAGCACAACAATTCTAAATTTCCACATCGTTTTACTAGTCATCTTCAGATAATGAGCGTAAATTGTGAAGCCTACAAGTCGTAGATGTTCATCCTTGTTGCGATGTCTGTTGAGAAAATTTCTCGAATTGTATTCCAGCGGATACAGTGAAATTACTGTGACTCAATGACTGCGATACTCTCGTTTAATAGGAAGGTAGCGCCTCAAAACCACATTTAGCGACATGTAACTCAATAGTTTTGGATTGGTATTACTGCCAGAACTCTGCCCCGGACTGAAGCTGATGAACTTATTGACAAATTTGGAATCCCGCTAATGCCATATTTCCCGTGACTGAACAAGCATGTGAGTGGACAGAGTCACTGACTCTAAATTTGCATACCATACTGACATCCTATGAGACCGGCCATGATTCCTACAATTCCTGTGATTCCTGTGGTTGCTGCGGGTCTCGTAATAATGTATATTGCGAAAGAACAATGTATAATGAAATTCGCTAAGCGCTCCATAGTGCGGCATATCGGAAGTCGAGGAATCACAAGAATTGCAGGAATTAAGGAGTCGCAAGAATCACCTCCTAGAATAGGATGGCCGATCCCTATCTGTCCAACCTGTCCAGCCATAAAGCCTTGTCTTCTTGGTCAAAGTCTAATCCGGACAGCGCAAAAAAAAGTCGTGATCTCAGCAACAGAAATGCATTATTTTGCATTATTTTTATACATGTTCTGTCCTTTCTAATATAAGAAATTTCCCTCCAAAAATGGAGGGAAATTTTCGTCTGCGTAGGCTCATGCCTATATCTTTACTGCGTAGGTCCCTCCTTACTGCCTGCTCACATTTTACTGGCATATTTTAGTGTTTGCTCCATAATTTTGATAAAAATAATTGTTTGGCGTCTACCAACTGCACACGAGGCAAAGTGATCGATTTGTTTGGCGAAGTGCTCCGCCAAACGGAGCCATAACGAAATCTACACACTGAAATAACGTTTGAAAAACACTTCGTCTGGTAGCTTAGAATAGTTGCGCAAAATTCTCTCATGCTCAATGGAACGAGTATATGGGTGCACGCGTCGCTTTTGAGCCGCGACGCGTAGTAAGCCGACGGTGACGGGCGGCGGGCCGGTCCTCCTTGAATCAAAGCGTGCTGATTGTTTCCTATGTAGGTTTGCAATGCGTTAATGCTCTGTTGGCCGGACAGAGTTAGCGCGATCTTACGCCGCGATTCTCCCAACAGACAGGCAGTTACCAGTTCATTGCATGCCGATCTTCTTGCATTTCGGTTGTGGTAGTTTTCCAGCACGACTAATCGTGACTGACTATCACAACCGAAATACAAGAAAATCGGCATGCAATGTCGTAACACTTTTCTTGTAGCGATTGAATTGCGACGATCAAATCGCGTGAACTCTGCCCGGGGTCATAGGCAGTCACGATTGCTCGTATTGGAGAACTATCGCAAGCGAAATGCAGGATGATCGGCATGCAACAAACTCGTAACTGTTTCTCTTGTTGGGAAGCGCGGCGATGAAATCGCGCGAACTTTGCTCGAGGCCGGGCATACTTCACGCGATTTCAGTCGCGACGCGATTTGGCAATATTCCAACTGTCCATAAATCACTGTAAGCATATTCCAAATGTGCAGAAGATAGGACAGTTTATCAATCCATGTAAGTCATACAAACTATTCATGTGGATTTTGCTAGTGTTGCATCTGAAGACTTCTCGCGAATTGCCAAATCGCGTCGCAACTGAAATCGCGTGAAGTATGCCCGGCCCTTTATGCGTGAACCTTACAGCTTATACAGGGTGTCCCAAAAAGATGCGCCTACTGTTTGATTGTTAATAACCCCCCTGTGGTGAAGTCTTTGGAAAACCTTCAGGTAGCATTTTGTAGATCTGGCTTCAACTTAGATTAGTGGTATGGAGCGGATTACCGCTGCTCTTCATTACTGTAGTTACTGTAGGAAATCCAGAGAGGGTTCTAAGCCATGAAAGGCCAAATTTTGCCTCAGAAAGTAAACAAAACAACCCGAATACACACTGGGCTAATTAACGCTGCTAACATTGAATATGAAGTTCGCAACTTATCGTAATGCTTCATAAAAAGTCATGCAAGGTAAGCAGTAGCGGCCGTTTCCCAATGTTCCTAAGTAGTGCGGTTAAAATGTTTGAAAAACTTCAAAAATCTTATACATAGTCGAGCATCAAACTCAGCTTCCATGAAAACCCGATCGCACAAGTTTTCACATTTTTTTGAAAACTTTTGAAACGTCAGCTTTTTTCACAGTGACACCATATACTTGAAGTTTCTACCATAATCTACAGTGTAAAAGAGCGAACAGTGGTTTGCACCTTACCGTAAATCTATTTCAAAGCCAGCTCTACAAAACGGCACCTAAAGCTTCTCAAAAGACTTCCTTACTAGAAAGTCATATCAAACAGTAGGCACATCTTTTTGAGACACCTTGTACATTCCTGGCGTCTTTGACAGCATTAGCCAGCATCCAAAATCAAACATCTCGTACATCTCAGTGTTGATGTTTTTGATTTTCCATATTCGTCATCGGTTATAGGTAAAATCGCACAAGAGAGGAAAAACTGGCGCTTTTGGAACAAAGAATTTGGTATAGTTTAGTCCTACAGGAATTTTGATTTCTTCATTCTCAAATGCGCCTGCATACTCTCGCAACTATTAGGTCATTCCGAAAGTACTTTCGCTTTTTTCAAACGGACGCCACATCTGATAGAACAAAGGTTTTTGAGAAATTTTGAATGCATTCGATGCAGAATTTCATTCTCTTTCTAAATGTTATGAAAATGTTGCAAAACAGTCAATGAGCTTTTGGAAAATAACCAAAATTTGCGACCTATGCTTTTTGAGATGGCCAAGTTTCACGATTTTTCAAAACTTTCATATCAATCCTTGAAAGGAATTCAAGTAACTATTCGATAAAGTAAACCTTATAGAATACAGAACTGCTTTTTTCCCCTTTTCATATCTTGCCATACATTTTTAACACAATTTTAACTGATGCTACCGATTTCCATACTTGAGCAGCTAGATCCTCGTAGAACATCAAAAGAAGAGCAGCTCGCGCATTATTTGATGCAGCATTTTCTCCTCTTTCTAACAGATGTTTTTCGTTTCCGATTCGTTTAGTTTCCGGGGAGAAATCATCATAACTCATTTTTTTAGCGATCCCCAAGCTGTACCCGAAAAACACGAAATTTGATATTTCGAATCCGTAAACCCTCACTTGCTTTGTAAAATTAATGCTAACTCATAATATCGACTTGGTAGTCTCAAATTCCGAATGATTATGATGTTTGATGCGATTGTGGCCGATGTGGGCCTGCCAAAATCCGATGGTTGTGTTAAAAAATCTTTTAAATAATTACGGCGAGCTTTGAGAAAGAGACAAAAGTAGTGCTGTGTTCTATAAGGTTTACTCTATCGAATCGTTACTTGAACTCCTTTTGAGGATTGATATGAAAGTTTTAAAAAATCGTGAAACTTGACGATCTCAAAAAGCATAGGTCGCAAATTTTGGTTATTTTCTAGAAGCTCATTGACTGTTTTGCAACATTTTCATAACATTTAGAAAGAGAATGAAATTCTGCATCGAATGCGTTCAAGATCTCTCAAAAACCTTTGCTCTATCAAATGTGGCGCCCTTTTGAAAAAGCGAAACTACCTTCGGAATGACCTAATATTTAAGAAAAAACAAAATTACCAAAGTCACCGCACAACTTAGAAGAAACTTGGAGTTACGCTGCTCTCCACCACATTCTGGGTGTTCGTATTCCGACAAAGTTAACTTCTATTTATGTTTTAGCACGAGAAGCTTCGAGAATACGCAGCAAAACATTTCAACAAAGAGCAGAAAGAAGGATTTGATATATGGTTGAATAAGGTAAGATCGTTTTGTTTCTAGGTCTGTGTAGTTTGGCATCCTTAGCTCTTCTACATCTAGATAATCGAAGCAAGACAGCAGATAAACAGTCGTGTTGAGAAACTGCCACAAGCAGCAAAGGAAATGCTTAGCAAAATAATGAAGGTGAGTTTACTATATAGCAAAAAATGAGGCGCAACTGATCGCCGATTGTCTGACTCGAACTTCATTTGAGCTTTGTTTGAAAAAAATATTCAGTAATTATCACAAATTCTTATGGTTCCATGCAAGCGAGGGGGGGGGGGGAAATTGCGCATATACTCCTCAAGGTTCTTCTATCTTCAGGAGCCTCTAGTGTCTTCTACTTCATGCAGTCAAATCCCCACTTCAAATTATGAAACTTGCGAATTCTATTTTCCATACCCTACAAAATCTTGTTAGATTTAACTTTAAATTCTGCTGTTCAGAAAGTCATACAACAATTTTGGTCGCTCATCAAAACTAGGCACTTGAATAACTGCCCTTTTCAAACCTTCCCGCAAAAGTGGTATACTGTTTTTATTTTGCTTAAAATAGTTGGTGAAGGCCATCAATCTAATTGGCCATTTAGACAAAACACTCACAATCATTAAATTTTACCCAGTGGCATTTTTTACATCTTAAAGGCAGCGTCCGGGCAAAATTTCGGCTCTCATGTTTCTGCCATTCTGGGGCCTTTCCGTGGGTCTGATTACAGTTGTAAAGTCCAAATTTTCCAGAACTCCCAAAATTCCCGGTTCTTGGGGACCATCTCTCCAAGGAGCGGACGAGTTTCGAATTGCTCGTCCCCATCGTCGTGCTAGCGGGAGGAGCTGCAACTGCACGGATGCAGTTGCATTGCATTGTGCAGTGCACCTGCGTAAGCACTCGTCCTCAGGGGCGGCTTGTGATACGTATCACAGGCCCGTATCTCCTTTTAGAGGGCACGTCAAAGGATTGGACCAACGCAGATCGGATACTCATGGTCCCCTCTTTACAATTATGTGCTAATCTGGGTGTGGATCTTGCCTGGACGCTGCCTGCAAAGGCACGTCCACCCAAAGTCTCGAATTCAATGTTTTGTCGCCTTCAGGCCTTCTGAAAGCCCCGATTCCGAATATGGAGTCGAAAATTCGCAAAACATTATTTACCTCTACATTAATTACCTAAATCATCATCGGCATTCGGCAACTTTCCCAGAAGTCACATTTCCAACTTGGCCTTTTTTAGCAACCCATGAGCTTTATCATTTTCCCGAAATTATATAAGAACTCTATTAGATTTGTCACTTGGATACGACTCGAAAGTGAGAGCAAATGTGAAGTCATTCTTCCCTCTTTCTCCCACCCCGTTCCATATTTAATCGCCTGTTTGTATTTCATTTTTGAGGTGGTGCATCGTTTACGATGTATTTAATAAACAAACAAACAAATAAATAAATAAATAAATAAATAAAATCTCCAAAAATCCCTGTTTCGAGAATCCTCTGCAACAAGAACCGGCGAGATAAAACATGCAAGGCCTACTTTGCTAATTCCGTAGCGGATTTCTCGCTCCAGAAGCAGTCTTTTGCGGGGAACCTTGGGGGTTTGCCTAGTGTGGGGGCCCACACTAGTATGCCATCATAATCTCGCCAACCTCCATTTTGGGTGGACGGTGCCTTTAAAGTCCAGATCACGTTGACAGATTCAAATTTGAAATATTGTAAGTACACGAAAACAGCGACAGCGCATGAAAGTCATCAAACTTTCCGTCCTCTTTTTTGTACTCAAAGTACTTATTGAAAGGAGTGCAGTCGTTTTTTAGAAGTTCAAAGGTTTTCAAATTAGTAAATTGTGTGGTTCTACATATGAGAAGCTAAAGCAAAAGAAAACTTGCCATTAAAGTCACCGTCTTGTCCTCCTCATTCAAAAAGAAAACAATTTATCAATGTAAGACCTGGACATAGTGGTGCCTCTTTTTGTGATGTCCAATAACAGGCTGCTTTGTAGTGAATGAGATTTGATCTTTGACGAGTAAAATATATATGAAATCTTTTTGACTACTAGTTTGTGCATAATTCATTAGTATTTTGGAACATCGTATTATTTCCAACATTATTAAGACACGTCAACTTTCCTCCGCTGCTTCCAGGTCCGTGAAGAAGAACGCAAGCTGCTGAACTCACTCACTCCAGAAATGCAAAGAATGCTGGACGGCCTTATCTGAACGCGCTATAATCTAATAGTGATCTGAGATTAGTAGACGTCTTTCTTTTTGACAGAATCAATAAACATTCTGTTACAACCGTCAATAAAGTGGACAATTATGATATTTAAGCGATAGGATTCATTATTAGCTTCACCTACAAATCTAATCAACATGGGCGTACAGACATATCAGCTCTGCTGGCTAATTCATTTATTCGCTCTAAGAAAACCATGACTAAAACTCATATCCGGACAATCCTTAATCTGAAAATATTTGAAACACGGGGATTAAAAAAAAAACTACAAAGACTATGAGCATATGCCAAATGTAATTTTCCCGACCTACGTACTGACATCGGGAAAAAAATCAACATGTTTGTTACTGTTCTATGATAACAGTGGTACTGATTGTAAAATGATAGAGCTAAGCTAGAATGTTTGTGAGTACTCAAAGAACTGTCCAAGGAATAGCGCCATCTCTTTTAATTTGTACTCACGTCCGTCTGTATTTCTGGCGCTCATTTATTTTTCAGAGCTTCATAAAACATCTCGGAAACTTCTTTGAATATTACTCGCTCAAAAAATACGCGTAGTTGTTCACTCGTCCAGCGCCATATTTTATCAAATAGTGATAGTAGCGTATACAAACCTTTCTGACGTTCCTACTTATGGAAGTAAATGGTTTGGAAACGCTCTGCTGCAATGAGGCGGACTCTTTAGTCGTATTAGATCCTACAAGAATTTATAACTTACTGATTTATGGAGAACGCTCAACATAAGGCTGCAACTAATCTATTTACTCGTCCCTACATACTATGGGTAGCTTGATACAAACTGTAGAGACAGATGCGACAAATTTGCATAGTGTAAGCTCGATTTCATCTCGTCTACTAGAGAAATGATAGTTTGGAGCAAAACTTGAAATAGAACTAACAAGGAAAGGATTGGAGACCGCGGCCTTTTGAAATAAAACGTAAACCATTAAACGCATTTTGAAGCTCTGATTCCAAATCTGTCTCATTATCTGCTGTGCGCTCTTTCGAAAGAAGTTATGAACATTTCTTGTCACCAAAATTTGCACTGTTTATGATGCAGGATTCACCAATACCGTAAGAATGTTCGCTTACGCACTACAAAAGAGCGTACAGATAAAGTAAAGCTTCATGTCAAGTTCAGGGAAACCGACACCAATACATTAGAGTCTAAAAAGCCTGGAGACTGACGATTTTGATGATTGCTCACATCTCGCAAAATCATTATGGGAAAGATCCATAACTTCGTTCAGGGAGTTGCACAGCAGATAATGAACATAGATTTAGAATCAGCCCAAAGCGCAACCTACTGGTATACATCTCATTGCCAAAGGCCACGGTCACCAAGTATTCCTCCCTCGTAAGATTCCAAGAAAAGCTGAATTCCAACTCAGATGTATGATTTAAAGCAAACCACCTATTCTTCATTACTGTAGGCCAACGGTAGGAACCTCCAACAAACCCTCGTAGATATGCCACCATTTTATAATATTTTTTTCAAATAATTCAATAAGTCAGTACTAGGATCCTCGCGCATGCCTAACTACTGCGTAACTTTTTACGAATTTTTGAGGCTTCTCAAATACGTACCCATTCTTGAGCTACATTGAGAAGACAGCCGTTGCAGAAACTGATGTAATTTATGAAAGACGCTTTTGGTCGATGATAAACTACATTATCGAATCTAGCGGTGATTGACCTAGTTCAAGATTTTCGAGATGCTTGATTTGGTTTCTGGGTCCCCTGGCTCTCTTGGCTCGAAACCTCTTTGAAGTTCCTACCGTAGTTCTACAGTAGTGAGAGCTCGGTTCCGCCCATGATCTGAGTTGAGGGCAGCTCCACACTGTGGTGTTTAAGCGGCCGTGAAAGCTCTTCATACAAGAATATTATCGAAGATCGAGCGTCGATGCATTTTTTCGGAAACGCTGTGCTGTTTCCATTGATATAGATGTATGAAAAAATACGTGAAAATTTTTTTGCATATGCTGTGGCATAAGGTCCCAGAAAATGCAAAATAGCATAAGATGACATCTCCAACAAGGGAGAGATACTTGGTTAAAGTCCAATTTCCATATGAGATGTATACCTCCTTATAGATCTTGTAACGCTGATTTCAATTCTGCTTTCGGCATCGGCGAAGCGCTTTTGGATGGGAGTTTTGTAAATTATTTGAGACAAAAATTTAAGGATCTAGCTAAGGTTAGAACAAGTGTTGAAGTCCTTTCAGCGCTTGAAGGAGTAACGACTAGCTTAAGTTTATTAGACTGAAGGTATTGACTGCACGAAGTGTCCAGGCAGTAATCATGACCCCATTCGAGCTCACTACCGTTCTGAACGATTTTATTTTAGCTGCGGATTGAAATTTTTGCAAAAAAGTTTTTTCATAACTCTCGCTCCCAGAAGCGCATTGCAAGGAGAGCAGTTCGAAATACCTCTATATGACAGTATACTTTCCATAGAAACGACATTTCGACCATATTCTTCCCCTGTAAAGTAGGCAAAACAAAGAAATACTCAAAGAATTATTAGCTGCGAAAGTATATTTTTGCTGTGAAGCAAAGATGCAGGATTTGAAATATTAGGTTGTCCCAAAAGTTTTGTCCGCTTCTTTCATCGTTCACTAAAACTCACAGAACACCAATACATGGACGGCTTAAGTACCATTTGACTCAGATTTTTATCCTCTTCCTTACAGCTATTTGCTCTCTGATATGGCCTGTCTCTGCAATGTTATCGCCATGGCATTTGAGCAGCTTAGCAGTAACGCCAAATCTTCTTTCTTGAATTCTGAAAATATCCTGATCTTTTTGAAGAACGCTGGTAACTGTTATTTAGAACAAACCTTTGACCACTTTGTACCCATTTTAGGTTTCATGGGCTACTCTTACCAAGTCCATTATAATTATTTATTTAATAAAAACCGCGGCTTGTTAATTACGTTCACCACGAAAAAGTACCAGAAATTCCAAAAAGCTGCTTTTTTGCAGCAAATCAAACTTGGTTATGTTGCATAGTGTTTAATAAGAATTATGTTTTAAATCGCAGAAATTCAAAAGCTTCCATGTTTTTGCTGCAGTTGCGTAATTCATGACTTTGCTAAAAATCGAGACGTTTGAAGAAATTTTTTGAAGCTAAAAACAGCAGATTAAGAGAATCTAAAAATATCGCCTTGTAGTTCGAGAAATACTCTATTCGACCCATACTTAACCCTTTGTCAAACTTTGGAATGAAATTTTCAAAAATTAGCCTGACTTTGGGCAGATAAAATTGACGGGTGAAGAACTTTGGCAATTAACGAAAAAGCATACAGGACTGTGGTTCGAAAATGTACCCATAAGAAAAAAAGGGAAAGCTGCATCAAATGCATGTTTAAACTCATTCAGGCGTTTGTTGTGCGTGGTTTTATAGTGGTTTGAAAAAACCGGGACAACCTAACACTAATGTGTGCAATTCAAAGAATGTTTAAATAACAAAGTCGCTTGATTTGTGAACTACTGTGACTTTAATTGACTAATGTGAACAGCATCACCTACTTTGAAATCTCTGTCTTACATTTAAAAATCGTGTAAAATCCCCCACAGAATTTTGAGTCTGTTCGGAATCGTCATTTCCGTTTGAAATAATAATTATTTTGTGGCACATTCACCTTCGCCAAAAACCCATACAAAACCTCGTCTAACAATAACAAAGGTCATCATACTGATTCACCATTCCAGTCTTCGAAGGCACATGACAGTGAGTGATACTTAAAAGATGTTGGGAACTCTAGTGAACAATAAATATTGACAGCATTATCGGATTTACAAATTCTAGAAGCCCTTCCAAGTTCACGTTATTGCATCCATAAAGATGTCTACATCGCAGTGAAAGGTTAATTAAGCTAACGGTTTAGTTGCTAATGTGCTGATTCATTCAAATCCAAAGCAGGCATGAAGTAGTAGGAAGTAGTAGTAATAGTATTAGGTTGTGTAATAAGTTCTGTCCCATTTTTTCTTTCGATTTTCTATCAGCAACAATCACTTTATTTGGAGTAAAATGTATATGCTTTTGAAAGCTCTAAATCTGCTCTGCAAATTGGTATGCTTTATCCCCCAGCTTAGCAGGATATTGAAAGCGATTATTGGCACCAGAAGAAAAAATCCGAAGAGGCAAAAAACCATTTTCGACATCTTTTTTTCTCTCCAAATTCCCCGTTTTCTATTGGTATTTTTTATTCAACAAGCATGACAACAAACAAAACAACTTATTAGACTCTTATGATTGCAATGCCATTCTCTGTGCTTTTTTCCTTCCTTCTAGCCCTATTTAGTGCCATTTTTTCAGAAGTCGGCAAAGCAAAAATTGCAGCGATGTTCGTCGCCTTGTCTACCTAAGATGTGTGGCCCCAAACATTGAATTTTCGAATAACTAACTTATGAATTCGATGATTTTATGGCCAAATACCATCCTTACCGCTTTTTCAGGGAATATCCGTCTACCATCATTTTTCAGGACTGTCTTCAGATGCTCAACGTCAACATTGAAAAGACAAGCAAGAAGATTTTTTTCTGAGTTTCAAACCTTTCTGAACTTTGAAGCTTTGCAGAAGTTATAGCAATCCTTCTTACGCTTAGCAGATTTTCCGAACTGTTTTGTAAGCATTCTGACCTAAACGGGGGATGACTCAAACTAGTTGTCGAAAATGGATTTTTTTCCTCTTTGGTTCTCCAAACTTGATGCTGGAAAACTCTTCAAATTCTATTGATGTAGGAAACTGAAGTGAAGATTTTGGTAGAGCAGACTTAGAGCTTTCAAATATATATACATTTGGAAAAACACCGTGCATAATACTTGAAAAATCGAAAGAAAAAATGAGACAGAATTATTACACAACCTAATATATAACCATCATAACATGATAATGCGCTTACCAGTTGGAATTTACGAGGGGAGAAAAAGAGGAATGAGTATTGCTCTTAAATATAAGCATGGATAACATCAAGATGCAAACAAGCAGGGTGGCTGCCATTTATGGTGCTGCTACAACGGAAAGGTAAAGTTAATAGCCAGATAAAAACATAAGACCGATGAAATCGCTGTTTTTCGGGTTATTTGACTTTCACACGTTTTTGTAGCATGACTGTAAGCCTTAATTCAAATGAGGTACGAAAAAATCTGCAGCTTTGACTCGTTCTGGAATCGTGTCGTTCTATACTGAGTTACTGGAATTTTACAGGTAATCTCATAAGCATGATAAATTTGCCGGTAGTAAATGCTCATATGCTCTCTTTTAGAAGCAACATACATATATCTGCACATTTTTCGTTCCACGAACATCACAACTTTTCGGATTCTGTGGGATAAGGCAAAAAAAGAGCTTTATGGTTGCAACATGTTTTTTGTCTCGCAAGTTCAGTAGTGTTATTCTATGGAATAATGGGATTCTGTGTTAATCAGTTGGATTCGGTTGCGAAAATTGTTTATTTGACGTTTGAGACACATCCTTGGCTCTAGTCTTCCAAGAAACCATAAAAAGTGTCACAATCGATAACAATTTATTATCAAATTAATAACTCATTCGTATAAAATATGAACTTACTGGAATGAACCATATTTACTTGCACCTACGTCACTTCAGCTCAATGTACAAGTTTCTTCTAGGCGCAAGTTATAAATCCGTTATCCAATCCAAACTTCATGAACTTTATGCCAGCTATAGCGAAGCAACAAGAGGGTTCTACATGAGATAATCTATTTTTTGGAAAATTATAAGCTATAATGCTTCTCCCATGACAACAACTAAGGCCCAAGAGTTGCAGAGAGAAGAGCAAATTTTGAAAATTGAGAGTATTCTCTTCATATCTTATATATAAAGCTGAATGTCTGTTTGTCTGTCTGTCTGTATGTCTGTCTGTATGTATGTACGTATGTTCCGAATACAAATTTTTATTTCTGAACCGATCGGGACCAAACTTGGCACACATATACTTCAGGGCAGGGAGCGTGTCATAGGCTACTTTTCGTTATCGATCGATATCGATTTTATTGATTTTTTGCAAAATTCGAGCTAGAGGGCTGGGATTTGGCAGAGGGGGGTAATCGAGCATGCTGATCACCCCGAAGGGGTGATCAGCATGCTCGATTACCCCCCTGTGCAAAATCCTAGCCCCCTAGCTCAAATTTTGCAAAAAATCGGTAAAATCGACATCGATCGATAACGAAAAGTGGGCTGTGACACGCTCCCTGCCCCGAAGTGTATGTGTGCAAAGTTCGGTCCCAATCGGTTCAGAGATAAAAATTTCTATTCGGAACATACGTACACGGGTCTAGCTGGCAGGCCCGGCGGAGCCGGGCAAGCCAGCTAGTTCATAATATAAATTTCGAAAGATGGATCTTTGCACAGAAATTTTTAAGGTGATCACATATTGTGTCCTTTTAGATAAATAGTTTGTTTCCAAACAATCTCAACCATTACTTTCGCATGCTCAAAATAGCCAGCCTCCCTTTTTAGCACACAGGAATATTTGTGTATAAGAAAAGCTGCGGTGAGAAAACCAAAAAATATGCATAGTTTTGAACTGAGGGACCGCGCTCTGCCGCGACCGGCCTGCTCCAGATTGGATTGGAATTTGTCCACTGAGCCGACTGCTGGGATGAGGACTACACATTCTAATACGGGGAAATTCTTTTCTTGGTGACTCATCAAAAATTATATATCGACAGATTTGACAAAAAAAAGTAGATTAGAAGGAAGCTACTTTTATAATGCAAGCGAGCACAAACGCAAACGCAAATGTTTGGTAAAAAAACTGGTTCTGCCGGTTTTGCTTCAAGACTGAGCCAGTATCACTATTGGTGATTGCTAGCAAAAATAGTAGAGGCTATCGGGTACAGGTGAAAAAAAAAGGATGGGGACTAGTGAATTTTTAGTCTATACCCATCTTATTTATTGAAACTCGTATTTCAAGACGAGTGAGTCAAGTAAAAAATAATATAGGTAAATCCTTTACGATAAGGGCTTAGGTAAGGAAATTTCAAAAAAAATCAATGCTAAGTTCCATTAAGGTCATGATTCTTCAGCACAACTGTGTACTGGTACAAGCGGCACCCGTCGACAATTACTCGCTATGAAAATGCAAACTGGATGAAGAGTTTTCTCGCTCTCTTTCTCCAGTCAGCGCGCCACTGAGAACTGGTCGATCGATTGATTTTGTTCTACCTCGATCGTAGAACCTCGCTGTGTGTGTCTCTCATATCCATGGTTGAGGCAATACAATTCATCTGGATGGATGGTATTGGCTCGGCGCGGCAGGCACCGCTTTATACACACTCGCATTTCCGCACTCCGCCGTATAGTTGGTTTTCCTCGCTCTTCTTCCTCGCTGCGTTCTTGCTCGGCTTTTTCTCGCCAGCCACTTTCCTGCTCTGCGACAAATTTTTCTCTTTGCCTGGAAGATGCATTGTAAGGTTCTCTACATGAGCATTTGTCAGTGTTCGACATGAAATGCACTCTGTAACTGGCTCTAAATTAATTACACACACCTGACCAGTGCGAGTTCTTCGCTCCCCCCCCCCCCCCTCGCCGGCTCCCCGCCCGGCGCAGTTTGCCGAGTGTGGCGTGCTGCCCGGGTGCGAGGATGCAATGCATAATCCATATGCCTGTTGCATTTGCAATATGCGGCTGGATATCGTTCTGAAATTGGCATACGGTATCTCATATCAGCAGCACAACACCAATTACAGTAACCGTGCACAGAGCCTAATTAATACCTGCGAATCGAATGTGACGGAACGCAATTTTACGACCGTTGTTATGATCTATCTAAAATGAATTCACGCTCACACGTAGAGATCGATTAGTATTTCATAATTAGATGTGCACAGAGCGACCAACACACGTCCCCCACGCGCGCAGCACCAGCCAAGCTACCGTATCCCTGCCCCCAACACTTTTTGCCGCTTTTCAATTTGACTCCTTTGCCCTTGTGCCTATTTGGATGACGTTAGCGTCCACAAAAACATCGAGCTGTTGCGCCTATCTTTGAGCGCCTAACGAGTCATTGTCACAGAAAAAGGTTAGAAAGAGTGGGAAGCAGAAAATTTGTATCCTCATGATTGTCCTAAACTATTTTATGAGTTTCGTGGGATTTCCGTAAGCACAGAAGACACTCAGTGTCTGACGTAACTCTGAGATTGCCATATAACGACTATATTAAGACTTTACACCGCACAGTTAAATCCAAAGTGTAACTGTTTACTAATTTCGAAATCTAAATAAGCAATAGTCAAAGTGAAACTACTCTGTCGAAGCTATAACCGTGGGTGATGCAAAATTTTGTTGAACTAGCATGCATATGACGGATGGCAGTCATAAGAGGTCTCATAAAGTATTTTCTTAGGTAAATTGTTTTTCATGATAGGATTTTGTGCATCAGCTAAGTAAAGCGCTTACTTACTAGCATTTATTCCAACCCTCCCTTTCCTCCGTTATTCGACTGTTTAGCTACAAGCTGCTCTTCAGTAAGACAAAATTTATTCGGTGTATCATTTGTAGTTGTGGAGGTTTTGTGATTTTTAGCCTAGAAAAAAATTCAGCAAATCTCCGAAAATTATTTTAGAAGTTCGACGTTGCCATTTTCATTTTCAATGACAGTTTATTTCCGGAAGTGGACAGATATTGCCAAGACAATGGAACGGATTTCCCACTCGCATCCAACAGCAAAAACCAAATTAATTAAGAAGTTGGAAAAATTGCAACCATTCAATTTTAGCGGTTGAGGTAGAGGACAGGAGTACGAAGAATTAGGATTCTAACGTAAACTTTTCGGCCACGTTTCAGGTGCTCTTTCCCCTTCCCCTCTTCCATGTAGAAAAACACCTACCAAGCAACTTGTAATTCATTCATTTTGGGGCTCTAATGTGGTCCCCGTGTGTCGTTTGTAGCAGGAAGTGCGCTTGTTTTTCGTCGGTCCGACCTTGTCGCGTGGTGAAATTACATGGCGCCGACCTACCTAGCCGACCCTCGCAAAAATCAGACATTCAGCACGCTTTTCGTCGCGAAAAAAGCGCATAATGTGAGTGAACGAGACGTGAACAGAACGTTAAATGCATGACAGGTAGAAAATCACTTGGGAAATGAAGCTTAAATTGACGAGGATCCGAGTTGTACGGGTCGCGAAGGTGGTGGCGCTAATCAATGTGCCGAAGTCAAACTCACATCTGTTGCTCGGAGATAATGGCATCGCTCTGATGAGCTGGACCTGGACCGGGTGTCCTGTCCTCGAGCTTTCCCAGAGCCCCAAGGCATTCATCCCTTCCATCTATCCCTCTCCTCATTCTGAGTCCACGTATATCCTGTGTGTGCCTGTGTGTCCGACACGCTGCTGCCTAATGGGCCAGTCTAATGGCGTCGTTACGGATATCGATCGAAATATTGATTCACTCCATTTGTTTCGAAAAAGCAGCCGACATGAAATGTAGAATAGAAAATTCCCAGCGTTGTAGTGGCCGTTACGTGGTAATCTGCCTAAGAGCTTCTAAAAACGCGCACTAGAGGAGTAGTTGGCAAAAGAAAGACTCGAAAAGTTTTTTGAAGTTTGATTTTAGAGTAGAAAAAGAAGTTTTAGGATGGGAAGACTCGTGTTTTTGCTTTTCGTAAAACTGCAGAGTTTCGCTGTAACCGGAATAGTAGATGAAATGCTCATCAAAACTTCAAAGCTGAAAGCACAAGCAAATTTCTTGGCTATGTGTGTGCTTTTTATCGCATAGTTAGAAGGTATAGGGAACTATTAATAGGTTGGTCCATAGGACTTGCTTCAAAATTGTAATCTTGAAAAACCTCGTTCCACTCAATAAAATCTAAATAGAGAAAATCAGACGCTGACTAACAGTGTTTGTAGCAGACAATGTTGATATTATCGCATTATAAACTAATAAAGGAACACGCAAATTGTAATTTTTTGAATTTTTGTCACGAAAGTTTCAAAAAGACCGAACTAATTTCATTTCTGGTTGTGTATCACAACCCACTCTTCTCAGTCACAGAAATTGCACTGATTAGACATTTCTAACGAAAGTTATGAATCGGTTTATTTCGTTTCTGTTTCGAATTGAACTTCTAATACACATAGCAAAATAAAACGTTTGTTGCATTTACGAAAACTGTCTGATTCAAATTGAAACTTTGTTCTAAATTTCCAAGCAGATTTAGTGCTTGTTGTTGCCTTGTGAACCAATACCTTTCTTCGATTTGCAAAATGAACGAACGAACAAAGTATGATAGAACTTTTTTGTAGAAATGACCGTTACCTGCTATGCATTGCTATTACACCTCACATACAATGATTATGAGCGAGGATTGGAAACGATGAGTTTCCCGAGCATTCATAATATTTTGTGGTCTGGCAGCACCTGGTAATCAATCCCTTCAGATTTTCATTACTATTACATTTATTTGCATCTGTAGGATAGAATCGAACTGTTTTGAGAAAATCTCGGAAAGCATCTTTGTATCACATCAACATGTTCCAGTTATCATGATGTTCTCATTAGTACTGCGTTCTTACCTTTTCAAAAAAAAAGAAACAAAATGTTTTGTTTGTGTAGCGAACTCTTACTGTAATTATGGGAAGGAAGATTGTGCGAAAACCGTAGTTTTTAGTCATGATTTGAAGGGGCCTAATAAATCTAACTTGCTTAATTAATTTTTATGACTTGCAAATGTTCATGCTCTCTACCATAGTGTTGCAGATCACCATGTTTATGCTAAACTTCTTCATAGCCAAACGATGGTAGCATTAGTCTTTATTATGCCTTTAACTATCTCCATATTCGGCTATCCAACCCAAAGCGATTCGTACTGGCCGACCACCAACACACACCAGCAGCAGTCATTCCTGTCATCTTTCCGAGACATGACTGTCTGTTCGCTCCGCTCTAATTCCACACTCTCACCGCTTCCCCATTTATGGGCCCATTCAAAATCACATGAAACCGCGTGCGATTTATCGTTTAATTCACAGTTGGCTTCCAGTCGCTCTCTTCCCCCTCTGAATATCAATAGACAACGAGACGCCTGGGACTGAGAAGAACCGGCACACAGCCTCCACCACATGGTTTTCCTGGCAAATACGGTAGTCGAGCGGATACGGTAGCGCTCGGGGAGATAAGCGGCGATCGGCGGCGATAACAAAACATTTAAAATGTGGCCCATTTCTTTTGCAAGTCTGAGATTTTGACAAGCGATAGCAGCAAGCAAAGTGTGCAGCTGGGAAACCAAAGCACAAAAGTCAGGAAGTCCAAGAAGGACTTTTTGAGAAATCACACTTGAAAAAGAAAAAGGGTACGATACAAACACCGAGCTTGCGCAATTCTCAGCCAGTTTCTTTTAAGCATTTTCCACATTTCTCTCCGAATCGATTGCTAGGTCTCACTACATTCAATTGTCAATTATTCGTATTCTTTTCCATTTTCCATTATCTTCCCATCAAATGCGGGATATTATGATTGATATTGAGTTTTTTGATACTTGAAAGCTATTGTAGTAGGGTATTGCAATTGAAAATTGCTGTATAAATTCTCAATCCATAAGAAACAATGCCAATGTTTACAAAGGCGCTGCTCCATTTTGCAGTTTACTTCAAGATCAACCAAATATTTTCCATCAGCTGGAAATATGTCACCGTAGAGCGTTGCTAATGGTCATTTTAAGCAAAAGCAGTAAGATTTCCTGTAAGTGCTAGGTATTCCAAAAACTTGTGGGGATTATATGGTGAGATCATGTTAGGGATCTCAACTTCACTCATCCGGATACTAAGCTATCATTGTTTTTTGAAAAATCAAAAATGAGCTGAAATTCCAAGCGGTAGTGAACCTTAGCTACCCCGTCTACGTCCCCGTCTCCGTAATGAGGAACTTATCCGGTCGTTGTGGAAATGAGCGCTATGATCGGCTTCCGGGGAGCGGACATGACCGTGGTTGGGAGTGAGCGAGCGAGCCGTCAGGCAAATGAATAAGGTAGTCGAACGAGGTATACGGTAACCGGACGAGACGGGGCCCCGCGATCGAACGACGAACATTTCGTTGGTGAGTGTGTGCTGGCTGACTGCGTCTCGGTCTCTGTATGTGTCTCAGTGTGCAGCAGTCTGATACGGTAGTGAAATAGTTGTGTAAACACAATGGAACCGGGCGAATGAACGAGCCAACGAACGATTTGCTGGACGTGTGACTGACTGTGTGTGTGTGCGTCACCTCCTTTGTGTTTTATTGGAAGGGGTGAGATGCGCGCAATTTGTTTGCCTTTCTCGACAAAATGACACTTTCCCCCGCATTTTAGAGCCTAGTGAACATGTGTTCTTGATCGCTTCAGCCCGTCCACATATCGATTTTAGGTCCACTCGCTGCGGACGAGTTCGTTCGGTGTTCGATTATCCTCCGAAAAGTCGGCACAGACCTCGATCCAATTTGACAGCGAGCAGTTATTACACGCTTGGATTGAAGTTAGTGCCTTGCAGATTTCGGTGTCTCCTTCAAAAGCGTTTTTCAGACTTTTCAAACGTCTGCCGACAAATAACGAGTACTACTGCGACAAGTGGGTGGTTACTGTATCGTTCAAATTGTACAGACTAAGGATGGAGCCAGCTGTAATAAAGATTCATTTCGCACTTTCTATCGCATCACAAAATGATCTTCAAGCTTAGCACCTAAGAATTTACATCTAATACGGTATTTCTGAAACATGTTCTAGAATACAAAGTGAATCTTGAGTGCAAGTGACAAATGCGAAACAAGCGACATATCGAGATCATTTTCTATGACGAAACTGAGATGAGATTCAATGACTATGTCCTAAAAAGACAATGGCGAAATTATGTGTGGGTCTCGGATGAACTGGCATTTATAAAGCAGAGTCGGAAATTTCGGCTCCCTCTACTAGGCACAATCACTGCGATGTTCGTTCTGTGACTTATTCTCCTTTTTCTGTTTCATTCGTCGATTTTGAAACCAGATTTTGATTTGACGCTCCGACAGTCCCAAACTTCGGTTCAGCTCGATTCGTCGTCTGCAAATGCGAAAACGTCCGCAACTCTTTTTGACCGTAAAAAAAAGAAGCGAAATTTACCTCCGCGTCAAATATTTATTGTAATGAAATTCCTTTTCCAATTCGAGTGTTTGTTGCCGAGTGTACGTTTGCCGCCCCCGCTTCTTGCAAACATCCGGAACTGTAACTTACCCCATTAGCTGTCGTTGTATGGTAAATGTAGGTAAAAACAACTGGAACAAAGTCTACCCAAGTAAGCAGCGCCATTCTTGTGTGACTGACGAAACTTCACTTCTTATGTGGTTCGAAGAACTAACACATGAACTTAGGGATACTGTACAATGTCAAAGTTGTCATGAATGATGTAAAAGAGTTTTTCTAGCTGGTTTATGGCGTTAAAATGTGTTTAACAACGGGTATAAAGAACTGGATGTTTTCAGTGGAGAGAAAAGATGATGCTGATTCAGAAGAAGCTTAAATCACGTAGGTGACAGTGACTAAGCTAGAAGTATTAGTAGCTTGGCTTTGAGAAGTGGAATTTTGGAGTATTTTATTACAAGCCTCAGATGCTATCAGGTATAATTGGGTCTCTGAACGACGCTAGGTAAAAATTCTTCAACTACTTCCTAATAAGTAAGGTGAACTTTTTGAGAGGATAAATATTTTCGCAAGAATTTTCTTCAAAAATTATTCCACTGCAGGATGCTGCAAGCAAGTTGAATGTAAAGCAGTATTTCATTTTGTACCCAGGGGAACAACCACTATGGCTCATCCACAAAATATCTCCCTAGGGGCTCAACTAATTTTGAGAAGTTCTTTTCCCCACTTCAAACCTCGACTTTCCACTTCATACTTTAGCTGCGATTACCGTACACCTTAGGTTGTTAGGTGAAGCGACTCTAAATCTGGAACAGTGCAATTTGTCGTGTGTCTGTCTTGTCGATGTTGTAGCAGAAGGTACTCGACTACGGAACGTCGATTCGAAAAAAGCTGGACTGAGCAGCGTGTCCCGACTGGCCGCGCGGCGCGTGTAGCAACCTTGGAAACTGCACGACGACGACGGCGAAACCGGATGCATACAGAAGAAATGCGCTCCAACACTAGAGCGATCAAACGAACACGGTCTGGAAGAGGCTTCGGGCGAAGTGGGGCCTGATTAGCCAGCAGAAAAGCCCGCGTTTTGGGCATCATTACGTTAGAGAACGAGGAAATATGCAAGTCTTCTCGAGATTGTGTTCCTTAACAGAAGAGGAGGACAAAGCATAGGCTTTGCTCAAAAAATTATGCCTAAAACACTAGTTTTTGCAGCTTTATGAGTTAGTAACGGTTGATATCACCTATGGTATGGAGAATGAGCTTGCGTCAAAATTAGCCTCATAAAAATAACAGAAAATGTGCTGTACATGTTGCCTTGAAAACTTTGTTCCAGTTTATCAAAGCTCTTTGAAAAATCATCAAAAAACAATTTGTATGACTAAAGACAGCATTGGACATAGAGAGAAAAATTCTAGTGGTAATCGAATATCGATCGAGTTGAAGAAAACATAACACACAATTGCACGAATACTTTACACAATACACACCGCACAGAATCAATATAGATCGAATTGAATAGTCAGTCTCAATGACGATGCCAAATACCCGTTGTAGTCGTCAAGGGGGACATAAGGGATACTGATAGGGGTGCGGGGGAGCCGGGGGCCATGCGGCCGTGGTTTGTTGGCCGGCACCCATGTGCCACTTCTTGTCGTCGTCGTCCAACAGCGTCTTCGGCGGGTTCGCCGGCAGAAGCGGTGCGTGCTCGCCGTGGTCGTCTATCCGTTGCTTCTCCTTCTTCGCCTTCATCCTCCGATTTTGGAACCAAATCTTGATCTGTCGGTCGGTGAGGTTCGTCTGCAGTCGCAGCTCTTCGCGCTGTTTCTTGCTCACGTAGCTGGACTGCTGGAATTTCTGCTCGAGCACCGAGGTCTGGTACCGCTGATACGTCTGTCTGCCTTTTTTTGACGCAGCTGAAACAAACACACGTGAGATTAGAAGGATTCCGCTGCCAACGGTTAGCGCTGCGCTGCGCACGTGCTCGCGTGTGTTTGCCAGCGCGTCGCGCACGCGTCGCCGTTGACGCACGCGCGTCTTGCGCTTGCGTCACACGAACGATGCGTGCGTTCATAGTTCGTAAATGAAGCACGTTGACTCGAACAGAGGAAACACACACGAGCACAACAGCCACAACTCGATCGACTATCGCATCTACTACTTTTCTACTTTCAAAATTTCATATTTTCCAGGAATTTTATGCCTATTTTAGAGAGGGAGGCGAGCTCTGGTTACTATGGTAGTTCTGCAGTTACATGACATAAATCACAAAGAGCCGCGTTAACGATCGTAAGTGGCTATTAGACGGAAGAGCTCATGTCGCTCTTCCGGAAAGACCTCACAAAGAGAAAATCGATGTCTGCAAATTGACTCTGGCAGCAAGCCCAGCACCTAGAGCGCCTTTTTTGGTATTTTAGGATTCTGCGAGGAGTTTCAGGTACAGTAGTTATATTTTAAACATCGGATTCCCAATAATTTCGTGATTTTTCGAACGCAAAACTAGTTCAGCTTTTTCAGAGAAAAATTCGGAGAAGAAATAACAAGCTGAACTTACCATAGTTAGGCCAATGAGGGGCTGCATAACATTGTGGAGGCCAGGCGGAAAACGCTGCCGGTGCCAGTGGTTGTCCGAATTGTTGATAATAGTTGGGCCAACCTGCATATCCAGGCATGTAGGCTGCTGCACCTTAACTATGAATAGTTGGAAAGGAGTATTTTTGAGTAAAATCATATTACAGCACCTGTGTAGAGGGCAGCATCTGTAGAGGGAGCCGCTGTTTGTTCGTGATCATCTTTGCCTACGCCTTGGGTCATAGCAGCTAACCTCTGAAATTTCAGCGATTCCACACATCGTCAAAAAGAATTTAGAAATGAAACGCTGTACCTATCCACATTTTTAAAGCGCTGTAATTTTCTAGCAAGTTATAGCCCAAATAAGGTAGTGCTGCGAGAATGATGCGCAAACTAGTGAGGAATCAAGGAGTGCGCGTCTCAGCTAAGCCACAAGGAAGAGTTAGTGCCTCATCGCTCGCATGAGGCACTTAGGACCCTAATGTTTCAGCAATGGGCCCCATTACCAATTATGATCCGCAGTGATGGCGCATGTAATGTGGCGTTCGTAGTAAAGACACAAGGATGTGCTAGCACGTGCTTCGGGGTGTCAGGAAGACGTCGCGAGAGCCATAAAATGAGCCACTGACCTGAAGGTGATCATTTGCCTCTGGCTGGCTGCCAGAAGCGCCGAAATCGAAGCCAACCGTTGACAGCGTGGCGGGATTCATCTGAGGCACAGCGCTGCGGCGACACTACCGTAGTCGAGGGGGCGTGGCGAACGGCCGTGATTTGCTGAAACGGCGCGCTTAGCGGATGAACCGACGCAGCACTCGCAAGACGCAATGAAACAAGTAACGATCGCCTGGAATCGGTTTAAGGTGGAAATCAACGCCGTTTTAGCCGCTGAAGTGACAAGTGGTTTGATTTGTTGGGGCGATAAATTATACGTAAAGTGCCGCCGAAGTAATTCCGCATGAATAACGGTTTGCAGGGGCAGAAATTGCTGGATGAGAATGTTGCAGTCGGAGAGAGAGGTACAAGACAAGCACGCAAAGAACGCTCATCAGGATAACAGGATGACTGGATCAAGCAGCTGATACTAGCCAGAGACATTATGAAGTTCAAAGCTGTACGATGCAAAGGAAGAAGAACAAGAAGAGAGCACTTGATGGACTTTGAAATTGAAATTGAGAAGGCACAAGCGCAACATTGTTATTGCTAGTAAAAGGCACATAATTACTCTAAGAAGCTCTCTCGCACGAGTTTTGACAATCTAATGAGGGCATTTGGATGGCCGTTCGAATTTTACGATCATTTCGAATGGCGGCTATTAGAGAACGCTCTCTCCGGCTCATACCTTCGCGGCAGCAGATGATTCGCGGTTTGTCTTCTAGCAATGTCTACAGATTCTCCCTTCTCTTAACTACTTCTAGTATGAGATTTGAGTGAATTTTATTGCTTGCCCTGATAAGGAGATTACCCTTTATCTCATTGCCATATTCTTAGATAGGTTCATTTATGATTTCAAGCATTGAGATGTATCTAAATGTCTTTAAGATGTGTCAAATGTCTAGTACTTATGACAAAGCTATTTCTAATAGAGCAAGCGGTTGATAGGATGAGAAAAGCCTAAAATGATGCCCATGCATAGCCCTACGGACCACCCACAGTGTTTGCAAAACTTTGTTTGCATGACATAAAACGCCCGTAAAACAGGCTAACAAAAAGTGATTTCGTGCCAGCTACTTGAAAAACTCTTCTTTTGACGAAACAGCTCGGTCAACCTCCTTTTATGGATATAGACACTTTTCTCATATTTCACACCCTTGATCAAAAGATTTGGTGCCTGAATATGATGGTTGATAAGTAGAACATTTTTAGCAGAAATCTCAGTACAAAATTGAGTGTTTGCCAAGCAGTCAGCACGAAAAATCGATATTTCTGAATCACAATGAATCGCATTTCAAGGTTTACGACTATGCAAATTAGAGCGAAAGAGAGGGGGCACACACATCGCGATGTTCGTCAAAAATTGCCAATGTTCCGTGGCTGATAGCTGCATAAAGCATCTGGATGGGCTAGAAAAATCCTTTGCATGAAGGAAAATCTATGACAAGCATATGCTGATATAATAGTTTGAGTCTTGAGAGCGTGTGTAAGCGTAAAAAATCAGAAACGTATTTGAGACAAGGAGCAAAGCGAAGGAGAAGATAGTAGAGGTCAAAAGCTGGGCTATATTTGGTTGCTGCCTAGCTGCTAGTTACAGGATAGCAATATTTTAAGTGCTGCTAGCACTCTCGAAGAAATAAAATAATATTTCCGTAACTCAAGATAATAAGATAAGCTTTCCCACCAATTCCATAAAAGACCCGAATGTTAGGGAAGTGCTAGCTGACCAGATAAAAATGAGGAAAACCTGAGCAAATAATCGTTAAGCTTGCTGAGGCGATACGTTTGGAGTAAATTTCGCAGGGCAAAGAGGCATTTCGCTTTTTAACGAGCATGTTAGATTACCCGAATAGGTACCCTAATGATGACTGGCGCTGATGGTGGTCGCGCGCGCGCACGCGCACATCGTTCGCTCGCTCAGCCGCCGACGACGACGACGAGCTCGGCCTACCCATAGGCGGAGCTTGATCCACAGTAGTCCCTTTGAAGATGCCGCCAGCCGCCGCCGACCGCCGCCGTCGCCCGGCCGCCGACGGCCCACGTACGGGTTCGATTTTGAGCGCTGCACTCGAAATTTTTGCAGAAAAAGTAATCTTTCGACTAATGTTACAGTATCCCGATTGCAAGATAGAATTCGCATTGATAGCACCAAATAGGAAAAAACCATGGTCTGCGTGGACAAAATGACAAAACTGCGTCACTTATTGTCACATATAAATCGCTAACGTTATTTGAGATTTATAGAAAAGAAAGAGAATTTCTTAAGCGTATGCATACAGAGCTCATTAGCCTGTTTTTAATAAGAAAACGGGAAGCTATCCAGCATCATCGAGTAGTCCAATTATTATTGTTTTAGTACATAATGTGGTCGAATAACAATCAAATTATCATAGGAGACATGAAGTGTCTTTTTCTTGCCTTTCAGATTAAGAGGATTCTCATCTTAGTCGCTCAAATAGATTTCACTGATACATTTCTTCAAAACGACTTCCATAAAAATTTCATAAACTGAAATAGCAACACCTTCAAATTTGACTATGCATATTCCACCTAGGGTCTATTCTCAAACTATTACCCGCATCAACGGAATCCAAATGTAGCTCATATAAATTAGACTGGAAGAATCAAAGTTTCCCAATTTTACCAAGCCTCAAATATTTTACTGCTAGTCCATCCAAAAAAATCCCAAGTTTTATAATCTTGTGAAATTCTGCGCTGAACTTTACATCTTTCTTCATTTGGCTGCAAGAATTAAAATGTATTGGCGACGTCTTCTAAACAACATTTTTCTCTTCACACTATTCTACTACTGTCAATTTTTTCCCTTCAACAAAAATGAAAGAAAATAAAAATAAAGAGCAGCGCTTGCATATGATATATTGGAAAAAGTTTTTATAAAGGAGAGGTAGAAGTCGAGCATTACTGAATGTGACATCAAAGCAAAGAGTAGAATTCTCAGCTACCTTCAAAATCATGTAATGGTCACCGCCTCAAACAAAATTCTCCACTTCGCTTTCTATTTAAATGCAATTTGTCAATCAATCACGACAACGTGCGTCTTTCTTTACTTTGTAGAGGAAACTCGCTTCGGCGATTTCGAACGACGTGCCTAATTCGCTGTGTGTGTGATTTTGAGCTCATGAAAGACGCCGCCAGGCAGTCGTCGACGGCACGACGCTGCTTGCTTTATCTAAATGTGATCACCAGTTACTGCGACGGTGACGAGCTGCTCGCCGTGCACCACCCGGCCAGCGCTCACCTCCCCACTTTGCACTTTCAAACTCTCGCTAAGGTAAAAATGAGGAACGGTAATGTGGCTGGGGGGAGGGCAAGTGGAGGGACGGGGAGCAGAAGATTGGGGGGGGGGGACGGGAGAAAGAAAGAAATCCATGAACAAGAGCTGCAGCGGACGCTGTACGTGGGCTGAGCTATCCTGGACTCATTTGTAACTCAATGTGACACACTATTCGCGAAAACCGACGACATCCTTTCTACTAACTCCTTAAATCTTTCTCTAGCACAAATACTGTATAAATGTGTACTACTGATCAATAGGCATCCAATCAAATCAAAAGAGACAAGGAAGTAGGGAGAAATCAGCGGAAATGAGCCGATTCTAATTTTCAAGTCGTCAAGTAGCGCGCATGGTGTGCATATAGCATATTATGTTATAATTGACTTGATTGACGATATTATCCATTTTCATAACCTCACATGATGTAAGATAGACTTGGCTATATTTTCGTCAATTTAAGAACGTTCAGTCTCAGGTTATGAGGGAAGTTAGAAAAATGCTGGAAGAGGAATATTTTTGTTTGGAGCATTCTGCAACACCGAAACCATAACTTAGAGAATATAGAGAGAATATACCTAAAAAAAGTGATATGATGTCATCGTGCCTCTATAAAATTCATCAAAAAAATCTAACTGTGACATAAAGTGCGAATCCGTGAAGAGAAAGAAAAGAAAATAGGTTAAAAGGAAAGATTTTAGATTAATCAAAGTTGTACTTCAGTAATTCACAGAGCATATGATACCGTTTAGAATGATTCTGCATGAGTTCTTGAAAAGTCAAGTACATCATGACCATTTGAAGCAAAGACCATGTGAGGGTAGATAACTTCTGCCGACAATCAAAAGTGATCCAGCGTCAAATGACTAAACTTTTTTTTCCACCAATGCTACTTCGCTACCTCGGTTACCGTCACCATCCTAACCACGTTCGCGCTCTAACCGAACACATGTTGGACAGCAGCAGCAGCTCTAGCACTAAGACCAGCAGCATGTTAATGGGCGAAAATTCGGTCGTTCAGTGCATGGTTTTTGCCTGCGGTATTAGGCCAGTCAGGCAGTCAGCCGGTCGCTTGCGCGCGAGACGCGCTTCTCATTGATTAGAGAGGGGGGTTCGGGTAGAGGAATATCTCACTCCCTCGTATGATCACTATTACAAAGTTTTGCAGGCGTTGCTATTAATCTGAGAAAAAAGTTGAGAAGCCGACAAAGAGTGGGGAGTTATTTTCAGAAAGTGGAAGTCAAGCATAGTAGGTAAAGAGAGGATCGAGGTAAACAAATCAAGGAAAGACTGTGGACAGTATGGGTAAGAGGTAAAAGTGTGTGTGAGGTAAACATGTTGTGAATCGAACGCAGTGGCAGAAATGTTGAAAGAAGCGCTTGCCAGACCGGGTCGGGACCGCATGTGGTTTCACTCTGCGCGCACCTGAGGGAGTCAAAATTATAGGCCTCCTGCTAGCAGAAAAACATGCGAAAGGCTAGCTGGCCCATTTCAAACGTAGCATTTGCAGCGCTTTCGCTTGCTTGATGACATCGAATTCACGTTCGGGGGCGAGAGGTGTTTTGACATCGAGGTAAACAGGCTAGGTCAAGAAAAGAGAAGTCGAGTAGTAATTTGCTTGTAAATAGAGGTTTCCGCGCCCAGGGAGAGATGTCGAATAAAATCAGTGGTTGTCTCGAGCAGATTCCGTACACTCTACGGTATGTGCGCAGGTGAGTAAAGCGGCTTGGATAAAAGCCCCGTAGCACACCCAGGTGGAAGTCGTAAAAACGATTTACGACAGAACTGAAGGGGCCAACAACTCCCCACTGCGCGGCAACTTCATCGTCTACTCAGAT